AAACTTCTTTTTGATGGGGACGAGGGGAAGCTAGCTGTAGTGCTGTGCAAAATTTACTAAGATAGTTTGTATACATAAGCTGCTGTTTCAATTATTTTCTTGAAGAGCTGATTACACAGGGGCTTAGGGCCACTAGGACTGAGGCTTAAAAGACATAAACTGAATCCATGCTTGCAAATGCAGATCTCCCACCACAGCACATGAAGGCATGCAAAAAAATAAGCAAGGAAAACTATTTCACAGTGTTTTCTCTCCCCTTGCTTCAGTTCTACAACTTTAATACTGAGAACGTTTTTGTTCCAAAGCATTCAGTGAAGAAACAGGTGGCAACTCTGCTGCCTACGTGTCCCTTTACCTGGTGCAGTAAAGACCTGATATCTCCCCCACAGTTTCTAGGCATGTAGTCAAAAGCCCTGAATAGCAGAGGGTCATTATAAGTATGTCCCAGCAGGGTGAGGGGCAATGCAGTGCACAGCAATAAATGTCTACACTTTAATTTACTTTCATGTACTTCTTTTTCCTTATGATACTTATCACATCCTTCTCTGTCAACCAAAAAAGATGAAGCTTTCACCTTTAAAAAAAATAATACTTAAGCTTTCTTCTGTGATTAAACATTTTGATCGTTTTATTTGCATGGCCACTACATTGCTACCAATGTGCCATGATATTTTAGCTGTACACAACCAGGCAGGTTATTCACACCAGCCATGTCTCCTGCAATTTCTGAGGGGAATATCTTGCTATTCATGGCAAATAACACACAATAACAAGAACTGCAGCTTGTAAAATCTGTGAAAGCAAGTGCAGATTTCTTGTGGGGAGCATCAGTGCCACTGTTATTTGAAATATATTGCTTTGGCAGGCAGGCCTTTATAAATATTTAAATATTTCTGTAAAAGCACTGAAAAAATAAGATTCATTCCTGTTTTGCATTTTTTTGCATTTTTGTTCCCAGCTCCTTGTGGTCAAAATGAAACCAGAGAAGATGGCAAAATAATCCAGCTGCCTCCCTGCAAGACAGGAGCATGGATTGTTCCTGCCATCATGGCCTGTTACCTTTTGGTTGCAAACATCCTTCTGGTGAACCTCCTTATTGCCGTTTTCAAGTGAGTGACACATGGCAAAATATGAACTTGGGGGGGGGATGGACATTTTTCACAGCCTAAGAAGGCTGCTAAGCTGGAGACTTTGGCTGAGAGCCATTTTCAGAGGATGTAAAGGTGAAAAGGAAAGAGGCAGTGGTTTGTCTCCAGGGAATAAGGGAAATGCCAAGTTCTTCATATTGTCTTATTTGCCAGGACAGACACGTGATGAGAATTGGGGTAGAGAAGCCAAAAAATTTAAAGTTTAGTTATGGCATCATTTACTCCTGTTACAGAAAACAAGAATAAAAATACTTTCCTGTCTCATTGAGTTGTTGTAAGACTCAGTGATTGTACAGAGCAGACAGACACGGTAGTAAGAAATGGCTGACTCCCACTGTGCCTTGCTGAAGCACAAACTTGTTCATTTCTTTTGTTCTTCATCCTCTTTTTGTGACAAGGGAACATTTTCACTATTGGTGAGACGTGTCCAGTCAAGGTGCTGTCATATCATCTTTGGCAAAGTATCCAAAACCATTTCAGTCTGATGTTATTTTCCTCTTCTTGCCTTCTAGCAATACATTTTTTGAAGTCAAATCCATATCCAACCAAGTATGGAAGTTTCAAAGATACCAGCTAATCATGACATTTCACGAAAGACCTGTTCTCCCACCGCCTCTGATCATTTTCAGCCATATGACTATGATATTCCAACACCTCTGCTGCAGATGGAGGAAGCATGAAAGCGACCCAGATGAGAGAGACTATGGATTAAGTAAGCCTTAGTCAATTTACAGAGCGGGATTTTCCAATGTCCTTGGTAATATCTAGCGTTTGATATGAATGTAGGCTAAGTCCAGCACCTTGATAACCTTTCCAGCAGAGAACTACTTTTAACTGCAAAAATTTTACCTGAATCGGTTAGTTTTACCTGCATTGCCCAACCCTTAGTTCTCCTCAGAGTGTTAATGAGGCTATGTTTTTCTGGGATTTTTGGGCGTTGTTTCCCCCTTTGTTCCTTCAAAGCAAAAGGGTTTCTTTTGCTCTTGGTAGAGGTCTGTTACTGCTGAAATTCTTCTCACAGTCCATCACACTTCCAGATCTCAGTTTTATTTCTTCAAATACAGAGAAAGCATTCCTACTTTTTGAGCAAACAGCACATACTTCCCCCAAACACACTTTTTGCCTAGATAAGCTGAGACATGGTAAGAAGTAATTATTTTGTAGACACGTGTTCTCCCTTTGACACTGACTCAAATTGAAGGAGTAGTTTCTCCAGACACTTTAGTATGAACTCCCATAAGCATGATGGAAAACCTGTCAGATTATTTTGATAACACTTTCTCTCTGCTTCTCTATCTAGTTCTTCAAAGTAGATCTCCACCTTCCCCAATGTATATGCCAGAGGCAGGGAGCGAAGGGATGTTCATCCCTTCCCAACATTAGCCCATGCCACAACCCACCTCTCAATGAGGAGGGAGCTGGAGACGTGTGGTGGCACTGGAGATGCAAGTGCAACCAGACTGCTCCCCTCCCACTCACATCACACTGTCTACCACAGCTCTTGCTGCTGCCTGCAGATACCAGCTCTTGCCATGTCAGATAGACCCTCTATACACTCAGACTCCTTTCTCGCAGTCTGCTAATTTGATTGTATTTGTATTAGGTTACAGGTGGGCTTTGGCTCCCAGCATCTCTCCAGAACCTGACCAGCAGCTGTGTTTAGGTCTCATGCAATCAAAACACATTCATGTTTTCTCAGCATTTGCCTGCTTAAGTGTTTCTTTCTCCAGAATCATATATAATTGAAGCCACTAATGTGGTAATTAGCTGCGTCTATCTGCTTTCATACCAAAATGCCAGATAAATTTGAAGCCTGCTTTTGAAAGCTTAGTCCATGAATTCCAAAGTAAGAAGAATGTAGTCAATTTCACGTGTTAATCTTTACCAAATTCACCTTTTTCCATTGTTTCCACAGAACTTTTCATAACTGAGGATGAACTGAAAAAAGTCCATGATTTTGAAGAGCAGTGCATAGAAGAATATTTTAGAGAAAAGGATGACAGATTCAATTCCTCCAATGATGAAAGAATCCGTGTCACTTCAGAAAGGTGCACTTTTTTTCTTTATTCTCTCATAAGTTGACCTGGAAATGCATTTCTGTTTCCATTCTCACCCTTCCTTTCTTTTTCTTGGAAAGAGAAACATCTGAGGTACTCTTTAATAAGTCTTAACTAAAATGTAGAGTGACAAAAGGTAGTGAATTTCTTTTCTATTTTTTTCTTTTTTGCTAAAGCAGATGTTCCTCAAAGTTTTGAAAACATGGATCTTTTAACCAGTTGTATTAGGGCACAACTGGCGTAGTGAGAAACATAAATTATTTTCGTATTTCAGTTCTTAAAGCAGAACTTTAGGGCACAAGTGGTCAGAACACAGTGGGAGAGTAAATGAGAGCTCCCCAATGAAAATTACAGCTTCAGCACTGGCCTGCTATGTATTCAGTTAAAGAGCAATCCTTGTTTCGGGATGTCCTTCCTAGGTAAGCTAGTTTCGTTGAGAGCAACAGGGATCTTGCCATTAATTCGAAAGGAACTAGACATTTCGCCTACAGCATTGAAATGCACAGAGGACAAATACGTTAAGTTAGTGGAAGTTGCCCATCTTCAAATTCATCAATCCTAAAAATTCATAAATCAGTTCACCTGCTGAGGTGCTTATATGCTTTCATCACACAGCAGCTGAGCAACAGAGTTTGGGTTTTGATTCATATCATGGTTGCCAATAAATACTTTAAGGCAACACCCTGTCAGATATTCTTAAAAATTATGAACCACTGAATACTCCATTCCCTGAATACTCCACTTCAACTTGTATAACAGAGGCCAGATGAGTTGTCATTGTAGTTGGTTACACAGATAGAACACTCTTCTCCTCACACATAATCTTCTAGCACTGCCTTTGATGCAGCTATGCCTAAAATATGTTTCCTGTAGACAAGAAAACATGCTTTTAATTTGGTTTTGAAATAAATCTATCCCAGAGCAGGATTAGCAGATATAATATCATTTAATCATCTGCATTACTGAAAACAGCACTCCTAAAACATATGTTTCAGAAAAGGGTATTAGAGGGGAAGTATGGTAAGGCATGGAATGGCTTCCTTGTAAAGAATTGCCAAGAAATGCAGCTCTGCTTGGTCCAGAAGAGATAAATGAGGAATGAAATTACAGAGGTCTGTATAATTATGAGTGCAAGGAGGGGGTGAGTAGAAATCAATTTTTTGCTATCTCTCCCAGAAAAAGATATAGGGAAGGAACAGATTAATCTAGCAGAAGCCCATGTTCAAAATAAACAGAAATAGGTGATTTTTTCATGCAGTTAGTAGTGGAGCAGAGCAAATTCTTGAAAGCTGATGAGGTCTAAAAGAAGCTGATGATATCAACTAAAAGTCTCCATGGGTTCGAATGGAGACAAGCTTATGGAACAGAAATCCAGTAAGGACTGCTAAATACAAGGATATCATATTGAGGCCATGAAGTTCCTGAGCAGAAAATGTTAAGAGACTGGAGAATATAAGGGTAGAAGATTTACATATGCTTCAAAGTAAGATAGTGGGCTAAATTTATCTATGGTCCAACTGAGTACCTTTTTTCCTTGTGTTCTGATGATCCAATGGTCAGAGAACTAACATGAAAATCACAGATGAAGGTTCAAATCTCTGTTGGGGCATAGCTTTCATTTTGGTGGCCAGGGAAAGAAGAGGTATGTTTGAAGCCTCTGTAAATGAGAATTAATCCAGCTGGGACCTCTCCTACATTAGGCAAGTGCTCTAAGTCCTTGAAAATGAATACACAACAGTCTGCCTTTGCCTCTGCGCTGGCCCTGTGTTATAGCAAAAGAGCCCTCATCTCTGTTATTTTAAATGAACAGCTTAAAGCACCTTATTCCAGAAGAGAGTTCATGATCATGAACCCTAAATGAAGACACCCATCTGAGCCCCACAGAGATATAATGCTTTGTAAATCCACTTACCTTACCCAATAGTGCAATGTGAAAACCAGCATGCCCCAGGTCTGTAAGGGAGATCTAGGTAGCCATGCCATGGGGTACAGAAGCCACTCCGGGGCCCAAGCACACTACTAGGGCTTGCAGTAATGAAATCCCAGATGAACGCAGCTCTTATAATAGCTCACTTCTTTCCTTGCCAAACCCAATGCAATGCTCTAACACACAAGGCAAGTGCAAATACTTAAAGATCTGAGGAATACTTTAAAGTTGTTTGAGGAATCAGGGCTATCTAAATATCTTAAATAACATACATTTTAAAAACTGGATGCCCACATCTGTCATTTTGCCTGCAATTATGGCCAGGGAAGTATCCCTTGAAGTGTTCTTAATCTAAAACATCAAACTTCTTTTTTTCTAACCTGTGGAACATTCAAATATTTAAAATCTAGATTTGCACTTTATGGTTTCTATATAAAACTGTCTTTGTACAATTAACAAGATATAAAGCAAAGAAAATGATGCAAAACTACAGTGTTGCCCTTCCAATGTCCAGTCATTAGCCTGTAGTAGTAGACCAAGCACAGTACCTACATTATAGCCATGAGCTTAATCATTTGTCCAATTAACTCAGCTTTGCATGGCATAAAATTGAACCAGAAAGCCCTGAAAATGTGAGTGAAGTTCCCTCAGAAGAACTTCCATTTGCAGGAAGCTGAGGATGCTCTTAGGCTCAAGGAGAAGGAAGGGCTGGGACAAGCCCTGTGTGATGTACCTGCTCCTGGACTGCTCACTGCCTTCCTTCTCCTCCACACATCTGTGATACACTCACCTGTTGCTTGAGCAGCTCCTACTCACATCTAGATTTATCAGAGTGCTCCAGGTCCTGCTTGGAGGAAGAACAGCTGCAGATCGTAGGTGCACAGCCCCGTACACCTGGAAGAGGGAGTAGGGGGCTACCACTGGAAAGGAAACGGGAGATGAGAACCGAGTCTTGCTTTGAGGCTACACTACATGGGCATTCAGAGGCAGGAGCTCAGGAAAATGAAAGAACAAGAGATCCTGTTTCTTGCTGCATTGACTTGGGTATATATGAACGATTTCAGCTAAGCAGTCAGTGTCTGTGTAGGGTCAGGACCACAGTGTCTTGTCTGACCCACCTGCAACAAGCTGCAGCTTATACCCTCACCTTGGAATAGTCCACCCTGGCATCCTATGGGGCCTGTCTTGGTTCAGCAATCACCTTATTTCTCTTGTAACACAGAACACCACAGAGCTGTGCAGATTTGGGGTCACCACACAGAATCTCTTCTTTACTGATCCTTTCACATTCAGAAATTAAAAGTGTGAAATGACACTTGATGCTTGCTCTTCCCTGACTAAGTAACTCGGAGGAGCAGCTTGCTAGCTAGGATCTCACATAGGCACATGGAAGTAGCAGCAGGTTAGTGACACACATCAGAGGAAATGATTGACTAACCTGAAAAATACAAAGCAGTGCAAAGCTGTAAGGTGTTTCCCTTAACTGCATTTATCAGGTTAGGCAAATCTTGGTGAATCTCCTGGAGACCCATGAGGAAAGCAAAGTTGGACAGTTGCTTCATTGCAGCAGAAGAATCACAATTTCTTCTTGAGAGCCCTCCTTTCTGTCTAATCACTGTGAAACTTTTGGTGGTACATTTTGACCAGCACAGAGACATGCATAATGTCATCAAGAAAGACTGCACTATTTTTCTTGGTCTGGCTTGAAGCCACTAGAACAGTCCCTTCAGTAGGAATTTTTTCCATATGGACAGGTCTCAACTGTTTCAAACCCAACACAAAACCTTTTGTTGATTTCAGAGGGAGCAGAGTCACATCCTAACAGTATTCAGAAAGCAGATAAGCTCTTTGGAGTAGATATTCTTATGTCATCTTTGGTACTATATGGTGCCCATTACTACAGCACCTTAACATTTTAGAGTCTGCAGTACAATTACAGTAAGAGCATCCATGTGAATGAAGACATAGTTATCATCTTCATTTCTGAGATGGCAGTCTGAAGTGCACAGAAATAGGTTTGGGTTGGTAAAAGGGCCACTACTGAGCCTACCAGATCTGGCCACCCATGCAGAGTGACAGTAGGAAAGGTCTGTGAATCCGGCAGCATCTCTCTATGATCACAGAGAGTTAAGTGGTCTTAGGCTCCAGATGGGAATTTAGCCAGGACAACCCAATGTCCTTAACCTGCAGAAACCACCGCACCTGGGAAAATTGGTTGGCCACTTGCATCTGCAATGCTTTACCAAAAGGTGTCAGACAAAGCACCAATAGCCTGTTATAGGCTTGGGAACTGCTGTCTATGTTTCATTTAAATAAAATCATTCTACAGTCACCTATTATAGGCAAGGTGGATAACCCTGTAAGTGACTTTCAGTGTCTACAGTCTTTGAGGCAGTTGAAAAGGATTTTGAAGTATAAAACATGGCTTAAAAATGAACATAGGTCCACAGAGACTTGTGAACCTAACTCTAACATTCAATTAAGAGGTCTGCTTCTGAAAAGAGTGCCTTACTGCCATTAAATCATTACTTCAGTTAAATTATCGATGAACTGATCTGCAAAAGTTAAAAATAAATGTAACCAAAATGAATGCCAGCAAAAGCCATCATTTCCCAAACCATAATAAAAAAGACTCATCACGGGTAATACAAAATCTTTGCCACGTTGACAGTTCTGACCTTTTATTTTTTTTCTGTTTACTGAATATTGTCCTCAGACAGTCCATGTTTGTTTCACTATTAGTAATTTTTGAACTTCAGCAAAACACACTTGGTGCACATTTTACATGTAGCTTCCTCTTCTGCTGTCCTCATTCCCATCTGTTAGGATGGCTTGGCACCTTCTCGTACGTTGGATAAATCTTGCTGTAAGGAAAAGCACAGGTGCAATGGAGACATCAGACATGGATATTGTGGGATTTGCCAGAAGGTTTATACTATCTCCAATACACATGGAAAAAAAAAAATCCAAACCAAAACTTGGGCATTCATATTTTAAAATAGTATTTTAGTTCAAAACTGTTCCTGAAGGAAATGCAGCTCTAGATGTCTATTCACTGAGTGCAAGGTCATCCAACAATAATGGAAAATAGAAAAGTTAACTTATAGAAGCATTTTAAGAACCAGATAATTACTGTATTTCTCCAGAACATATCCTCTAATGTCCACAGTGTTTGGCTGATGGGATTTTGTCATGTTTCTAGTATGATTACTCCCAGAGCAAGGTGCTGTTCTGTGTGATGAATGATTACAGAATTTAACATCAAATTAGTATAAGAGAATATGACTAATTAAAAGAATAAGCATTTGTTAAAAAATCTGGGACTGCCCATATACAATATATATAACAAAAGGTGAGTAAATTCAAAACTAATTGCTTTGGTTTTGGAGGAGATCATCATCACTCAAGCTTTCTTTTTGTGAATAAAATTACATAGTCAGGGCCCATCCAGTGTAAATACATGTTTGTACTTATCAGTTATCTAGGCATATCTCTGGTTACCCCTGGTTTCTGAACCAGAATGCACTATTATTATCTTCTTGAGTTTCTATATAAATTTCCCACTACTGTCAATGCAATGACATCTGAAGAAGAGAAGGCTGCGAGGGGACCTTATAAATGCCTACAAATATCTGAAGGGTGGGTGTCAGGAGGATGGGGCCAAGCTCTTTTCAGTGGTGCCCAGTGACAGGACAAGGGGCAATGGGCACAAACTGAGGCACAGGAAGTTCCGTCTGAACATGAGGAAGAACTTCTTCCCTCTGAGGGTGACGGAGCACTGGAACAGGCTGCCCAGGGAGGTTGTGGAGTCTCCTTCTCTGGAGATATTCAAGACCTGCCTGGACAAGGTCCTGTGCAGCCTGCTGTAGGTGACCCTGCTTCAGCAGGGGGGTTGGACTAGATGACCCACAGAGGTCCCTTCCAACCCCTACTATTCTGTGATTCTGTGATTCTGTGATCTGTGATTACTTCCGTATCAACCAACAGACTACGTAACTCAAAAGTCTCCCGTCTTCTTGGCCAGCAATACCACCAGTCTCACACTCTGTGCCTCTGGCAGTATCTAATAGATCATGTTCAGGGAAGGCAGGACAAATACATAAACACGTACCAGCAAGGTATGACTTTAGGTTCTTCTTGGCATGCATTAATTTTGTTCTGTAGCATTGGATAGCCCTCACATGAATGCAGGGCGCAAAACCTATCTCACTATGCACAGTTCTATTCATATTCCAGATACAAATATGTAACCAAGTACAACAATTCAACTGGCTACATTTGTGTTAAAAATTGTTTCACTTGTGTACATCACTCAAAGCACTGAAAAAAAATCAAAAAACCCCAAGACTATCCAGTTAGTTTCACAGAATGTTGTAAGTTCATTCTAATTCTCGAGAAAATGCAGTTGGGGTGAAGGTTTTTGTTGACTGTAATTTGAGCATTCTTGAGTAAAATCCAGGAGGTTTCTCAAATTGCTCCATAACCCTAACAGCCCTAAAACTGTGGTGTTAGATCTGCTCATCATCTTGGAGCAGTTGTTACAGAATCTGAATGTGTGATGAGGCACTCAATTGTTAGCTGATAAATATTTCAAAAGTGTAATTGTTTTTATAAAATAGCAGTTCAGATAAATAATAATATGAGGGAAAATTCAACTGCTTCCCATATAAACTGGTCTCTTACTATGGAATTATATCCTATGCTTGCAATAACATTAATCTATTTTGTTGGAGAAGTTGGTAGAACTAGAAGTAGACTGGTGCTTAAGTAGAATGAGATTCTTTGAAACTACCGGTTCATTTCTTAGCAGTGATTACTTGATCATTGAAATACAAGGTTGCTGGGCTTGTGCTTTCAAAACTCATGATCTTCAACAGAAAAAGCCCTTATTTCTCAGGAATGTGAGACTTCCTATAGGGAGTGGTGTCACACCCTTGTGCAAGCAGGTTGCTGATGCTCATTACCACGAGGTCGTCAGACCTCAGAGTTTCATCAGCTAAAGTTCTGTGCATTAATCAACAAGGCATTAATGCTGCCCAATACTCATTCATTGCTAAAATCTGTTTTCCTTCTGGGCAAGTAAGAGTGTTTATGGTGTTGCCAGTTCCAGGCCACTCGCCCTGTTGGAAATTCAACTAGCAGTAGTAGAAGATGATATTTATCTCATCAGAAATCCTGGCTATGATTGAGAGGGTGCCTATTAACATTTTACTATGATTGCACCAACAGGCAGAGAGAAAGAGACTTGTGAAGACAAAAGTGTGGAAATCCTGCCATTTGCTATTTGTCACTTCTCGGTTAATTTTTCAGTGTCTACATAAATGAAGAAAACCAAAACTGTAACCTTAAAAATCAGCCAAAGATAACTATATAAATGTGTTGCTTTTAATACTTCTTTGGCAAGAAATGGAGGTCCCTGGTCTACCCTAGGGACTATAACCAGAGAAAATAATTATGAGAAAAAATTTCATATGCGCTAAAGGCAATTCCATTGTGTAAAATTAGAAGACTTCATATAAATCCTTCAGTAGAGATGTTTTAGAAGCAGAAAATTGCAATGGTTGAAAGCCTCTGATATAAACTAGTACACAATTCACCATAAAGTCAAAAACATTTTAAACTGAGACAGATCAACAACGTAGAACAGACATACTCAAGTTTAAAATAGGATCACACTTTCAATTATTACCTATTAATACTTTAACTTTTTATTTCTATATTATGATAGGCAGCTAATACATAACTTTAAAACCCATCATTTCAATCCCTAAACTATTAACACAGACTACTGTTTCCGTTCGGCCTGGATAAATTCCAGGTGCCCACCAAAACCACTCTATCACCCTCCTCAACTGGACAGGGGAGAGAAAATATGATGAAAGGCTCGCGGGTTGAGTTCATCACCAATCAAATCAGAGTAGGATAATGAGAAATAAAACCAAATCTTAAAACACCTTCCCCCCACCCCTCCCTTCTTCCCAGGCTCAACTTCACTCCCAGTTTCCCTACCTCCTCCCCCCAAGCGGCACTAGGGGACGGGGAATGGGGGCTGTGGTCAGTTCATCACACGTTGTCTCTGCCGCTCCTTCCTCTTCAGGGGCAGAACTCCTCACACTCTTCCTGGCTCCAGTGTGCGGCTGCTCTCATGGGAGACAGTTCTCCACGAACTTCTCCAACGTGAGTTCTTCCCACGGGCTGCATCTCTTCACGAACTGCCCCAGCATGGGTCCTTCCCACGGGGTGCAGTCCTTCAGGAACAGGCTGTTCCAGCATGGGTCCCCCACAGGGTCACAAGCCCTGCCAGCAAACCTGCTCCGGTGTGGGCTCCTCTCTCCACGGGTTCGCAGGTCCTGGCAGGAGCCCAATCCAGCGCAGGCTCCCCACAGGGTCACAGCTTCTTTCAGGCATTCACTTACTCCGGTGTGGGGTCCCTTCCATGGGCTGCAGGGGCACAGCCTGCCTTACCATGGTCTTCTCCATGGGCTGCAGGGGAATCTCTGCTCTGGCGCCTGGAGCACCTCCTCCCCCTCCTTCTTCACTGACCCTGCAGAGTTGTTTCTCTCACATCGTCTCACTTGTCTCTCCCCCCCCCCACTACCAAAAACTTGCCACGCAAACCCATAACAACTTCCCAAAGCACGGTCACAGTAATGGAGCAATCTCAGTGTGCATACCCTATTGTAGGCTGTATTTGGTTTGATCAGTGCTCTCCTTCCTGCAGTTTTCATGCATGCTTTACTTGATATTACCTATACTCGATCCACTGGCTGTTCTACATTTTTTTCTGTATGTCTGAGCTAAAAATTAATCAGGGAATAAAGAAACTATCTTCTTAGGTCCACATAGCACTAGCTGGTGTAAATCTGGTGCGAACACCAGAAAAAAAAGTGGGACGTTACCCACCTTCTATGGCATATTGCCCACTTGCATTACCTCATTTAGTTCTGCAGTTAGCTGCAGTGGTCCTGCCTGTGGCACAACTGGGGACAATGCCATGTGGCGTCTCCTCTGTTATTCATTCATAACAACCTAATTAGAAGTTTTGGCAGCATAGGGGCAGCAAATCATAGCAACATTTCTGTAATAGTCCCTGTCCCTGGGAAAGGACAGACCCAAGACCCCCTCTAGGTCATGCAACAGGCGGCCCTGGTTTAACCCATTGGAGCAGCCTCCTGAGAAAGTGGTATTTGTTTGCTGAACCTCTTAGCAAGGTTTTGAAGCAGATGAGGTGGTGTAGATTGGCTTTGAATGTTAAGACCTATTTGTTCCTGTTTGTTTTGTTTTATTAGCTGAACATCACTGTTTTCTAGAGATTAACCTGTTTAATTCTTTCCTTTTTTAAGGGTAGAGAACATGGCCATGCGACTGGAAGAAGTAAATGAGCGAGAGCACTGCATGAAGGCCTCTCTGCAGACTGTTGACATCAGGCTTGCTCAGCTGGAAGATATGATGGGAAGAATGGTGACGGCCTTAGAAAAACTGACTGGCATAGAGAGAGGTGAGACGACAAAGATACGATCCAGGACCTCATCCGACTGTACTGATGCAGCCTACATTGTGAGGCAGAGTAGCTTCAATAGTCAGGAAGGAAATACTTACAAGCTTCAAGAAAGCATAGATCCTACGGGAGAGGAGTCCATGTCCCCAACATCTCCTACAATCACACCCCGCATGCGAAGCCACTCTTTCTATGCAACCAATATGAAGGACAAGTGTGGGTTGGAAAAGTTTGAAAGCATTTTTAAGGAAAGATCTCCAAGCCTGCATCGGGCTATCAGTTCCCACTCAGTAGCAAAAGAAGGAAAGGTTCCTTTAGTCCCTATCAGCACTTTGTCGATTGCCCCAGACTCCAGAAGGCCTTCATCTTGTATAGACATCTACGTTTCTGCCATGGATGAGATGCATTCTGACACAGAGCCTCTTGATAGCTCCATAAATATTCTTGGTACCGGAGATGCAGCTCTGCAGGCTCACATAGCCTCTTCCATTCTAGCTAACAGTGCGTACATCAGCAGTACACCTGGTGAAAAAATTTCTGGCAGGAGTCTTGATTACGAGGAAACCTCTGGAATAGAAACAAGAGCATTTTCTTCAGACTATTCACAAATCACAGATTGCCAAATCCCCTGGGATTCAGACCCTCCCTTGTATCACACTTTAGAACGATCTAAAAGCAGTCGTTACCTGGCTACAACTCCTTTTATTCTGGAGGAAACGCCAATTGTGAAATCTCACAGTTTTATGTTCTCTCCATCTCGAAGCTACTTCAGCAGCCTTGGTGTCCCAGTCAAAACAGCAGAGTACACAAGTATTACGGACTGCATAGACACGAGGTGTGTGAGCGCTCCCCAGGCTATCGCGGAGAGGGCCAGTTTCCTTGGAAGCCTCGGAGGCAAAGTGGAGGATGTGGGATGCTGCCACCCAGAGAGAGAAGCTGAACTAAGCCACCCGAGCTCTGATCATGAGGATATTGATGCTAAAGACAAGAAGGGGATCCCCTTATCTCCTCAAGACGGCAATGCTACAAGAACTCTGGCCAACAGCATCCCACTTCCAAAAATAGAGCGGGCCAACAGCTACTCAGCAGAGGAGTCCAACATGTTGTATGCACAGCACACGCGGAAAAGCTACTCTATCAGTGACAAACTTGACAGACAGCGAAATGCAACAGGCCCACGAAACCCCTTCCAGAGGAGTAAGTCCTCAAGGCCAGAGAGCAGAGGGGATAACCTGTCCATGAGGAGACTGTCAAGAACGGGAGCCTTCCGCAGCTTTGAAAGCAAGCACAGCTAGGCCTAGACAAAGCTCACCAGCAGTCTAAGGGTCACCTGCTCTCCAGTCCATTTTCTTAGCAGAATTAAAAAAAAAAACCTCACATCACCCCTTGTGAACTTCAGCTGGCAGTAGCCACCAGTCAAGGGAGCACATTGACAGTCTCAGTATTGCCCACTGAGTTACTGCATCTTGACCCAGCTGACATTTGCACTTGAGGAAAAGGGGAGGGATGAAAGCTTTACAAAGACTTCAGTAAACAACAGGAATAACAAGCCCCCTTTATGAATTCACAAGAAATAAATGAGTAGGTTCAGAAATCTACCTTTTATTAAAATGCATCCTAAGATCTTTGATCATTATTCAGGTTTTTAGGGTGCAGGAATTAACTGGCAAAAAGGGATGAACAAATTAGATGTTCTAAACCTCAGTCACAACTTCTTTTTCATTGTTTTCACCATCGTGATGACTGATGAAAAGTGTTTGTTATTTCTGTAGGAAGTGGTAGCAAACAAGCCTAAAGTCTCCCAAATCCCTTCCATCCCACACTTGTGGAAATGAAGAAAGATGAACAAGATAACAACCATAACGTTCACTTGTCTTTTTTTGTATCAACTTCTAGTGCCACAAAAAGTTTATATTTTCAAGAGCAGAAAGGGAAATGAAATGCCTTTTGTACTGCAACTTAAATGGAGGATGAATTCATGTTAAAGTATCAGGTGATTTCCTGTATGAAACAGGCATTCTAGATTCTAGCACAGCTGAGCAAGCTCAGGATGAATGTAATTAAGTGGAATAGCATATATTTATTTTTTTACCACATTTCTCATCAATATGTTGTCTTACTAAATCGAAGGATGTGATGGAACAGTAAGAACAGGGTGATCAGAACAGAGCACAGTAATATTGTCAGGTTATCACTGCTCTGTTTAATTACCTGTACAAATCGAGAGGATTTATCCACCAGGCTGCTACCAGGCTCTTCTCACTGTTCCATCTGAGCTGCCAATTTTTCACATCATTCCCTCACCCAAAAATACACACCTTTTTTTTCCTTCATGAGGATATGGCCGTATTTGAACATTTCAAAATATACAAGATTTATTAAGCAGTCTGAATCCAGATTAATGCAATTAGACTGAAGTTGCTTAAGGGAAGACGTTCTTGGCAGAGGACTGGAAAGCACTAATAATTATGTATGCTTTTAAGGTAAGTTGAAGAACCAAAGTGAAACTGCACGTGTCTGTAAACAGCAAAAGCCATCAGCTGCAACTAGGCTTCCACTGTTCAGCAGCATATCACACAACATGCATTTTAGTAGGAGGAAGTATATCTGAACAGTAGTGTAGTTACGGGTTTTGGTTGAAGACAGTCATAACTCCACTGACCCCACTCATGTTCTGAGGGTCCACAATGCTAGCCAGAGTTCCAAACTTCTCGTAAGAAGGTATCACAGTGGTCACAGGTAGAAGAATATGCAGAAGGTAGGAAAATGATGGAGAAGCATGAACTGCACCTGGATAAAAATTTCACATCATTTATGAAGGCACAACTTTTAAGTTTGTAAAGATTTGAAGCTAGTGCTATTAAAAATTAAATCATCTCTACAATGACCAACATTTGTGTAGAACCAGCTCCTTTTTGTTATTAAAAATGAACACGTGAGTGGGGTACACACTTCCCATTATCTAAATGGGAATTATCTTCCAGATCTCTAAGGCAGCTTTGAAAATGCAGGCTGATGTTTTCTTACTGGGAGACTCTGAGCACCATATGAGAGCTAAGTCTGAAAGGCAACAAATCCAGACATAAAAATAATCATCAGCCTCAAGAAAAGAGGCAAAGAAGGTGAAAACATTTAGGTACCGAGTCACTACGTTGGAAAGTTCAGGAAATAAAGAAATGCAACATGGAGACTTTAAGCACAATGTGTTTCGTACTTCCTGCACCAACGTGTTCCTTGCTTTCTTCTATTTGATCAGGCTTTTGATGAGCTAAACGCCACCAAGACACCGTGTTTATGCAATTGCCTTGCAGTCCATGTGCGGTGTTACAGTCACATGGCAACACCAAGAAAGGTCAGAAACCTTTCTGTGCATTATGAAGCATGCTTGTGACAGGCTGATTGTTGAACAATAGCAAAATGCCCAGGGGCAAAGGAACTTGTGTTTGACAATCTGCTTCAAATGTGCCAACTTTTGTTAGCAGCCTTTTCCTAAGGCTTCTCCAAATCTATCTATCCTTGGTGAGTAGAGGGGGATATTCTCACTTTGTTTTCTTTGTTACTTTTACGAATGTCTGCTAAAACTGTCCGTGGACTCTTCCACTTTCACCATATTACTGGCCTACTCTAGAGGAACTTCAGATTCGTTAGAAATTCCTCAACAGTGCTTAGTGAATTAGTTCAAGGCATAGGGCTCTCCTCTGGGGTAGATTTCATTGCTTAGTTTGTCAGGGTAAAGGAATTTGCCAAACCCAGAAGCTGTATAAATGATTAGGATACAGCACTTTATTGATCTGGAGCACACATTCCAGGTAAAATAAAACAGGACACTTTATTTACCTCTTAAAATTTGCCATTATGTGTAAAATGTAAATTCAGATGTTAAAAGTGTGATTGCAAGATGTCAGAACACTACTTTTCCTGAATGTTTCCCATTTATTCTACAATGTGGTGTCTATGGAATATATTATGATGGATGTTAGATTATTTTATCTTCACCTGTTTTTCACACATTGCATCAAACTGCTCCTTTTTGAATTTGATGGTAAAACACCCATTCCTTGCAATGGGACCAGATTTCCCACTCCCGGTATTATTATGACCATTTAGTGAGAGTAGAAGTCTTATCATCCATCATCATGTAGCTATAGCATGAGCCATATGACATATTCTGTATCAAAGGATAGCTTACAAAACAGATATATATACACACATATATACATATCTCCCATATATAAACCAGTATAGTTGTGACATGTGGTAATATTAGTGAACGTTACAGGACAGTTTTAATACCACATTACAAGGTCTTGTTTGTGAATCTGTAACATTCAATAAAATAGCACATGTTGCATCGAGCATTAAGTTCCACTATCCAATTATTAGCTTACATATGGAATATGCATTTCTGGTCACAGTGTGTAAGTTTGGTATGTTTCACGCATTTCTCTGTATAGCTCCACTTAAATGTCTGTATGAGTTGATGTATAAACCTCTAATGAGCCACTGTGGGCTGTGACAGGTGAGTTGTGATAGTGTGAAAGATGAACTGGCATGTTATGCAAAAGATTATAAGATAAATTAACTTTAATAATATTTTGAAACTCAACTGAACTTAGCTGTTTGTTTACATATGCTGGCCGACTGAGGAAGCAGTGTACAGTATTTTATAAATATTTTCCTATAGTAATCCATTCTGTTGTTTCCAGTTTAGGTGATGCTATTCTACAGTTGGGGTATACACTTGTCCTAGGTATTGGATTATAGCACATTATTCTTTCACAATAACAGTGTGATATGACTGAAGTAGTTTCTCTTCCTTACAGTCCAGTCTTTTTTTGTGTCAATGAAAATGCATGCATTGTTCCATGAGTTTCTTTGGACTACTATGAGACTTAACATTTTGCTATTGCCTGCCTGTAAAGATGAATCCAGTTAGGAACGAATTCAAGCTTTTGGATGTTTACATTATTTCCATTATTTTGATCTTTAGCAAAGTAAGTGATTTTTTTATTATTTTTAAATGACAATTGTATTTTATGAAATTGAAATATTCAACACAAAATGCGAACCTACAGCAGTGCTCAGACATTTGGCTCTCTCTTTTTTTGGAAGAGATAAGGTGCTACATTATTGTTCTTAGCACAAGTGCCAGTTAACAAATGGCAGTGAGGGGATAATTTGAAAACATAATGAAAAACCAAAACATCCATTCATCCACATAAGGAAATCCCTCTGGGTTCCAGATATAGATCGCTTTTTTTTTTTTCATTTTCCATTTATAGATTTTTTTGGTAAAAAAAACAAAACAAACAACAATTTGTACCTTTTGTGGAATGGATAGCCTTTTGTCAGGGGATAAATATATTAGTTAGGTATATTTTTTGTATGAGAAGAAAATGATTTGTTTCTTAGAAACTGTCAGTGCATGGAAAATGCAACTACACAAATAAATGCTCAAAAAAAGTGCTGGTAGCAGCACACAGCCTTAGTCCAATGACTGCAGTTGAAGCAATCAAGTATCTGTCCTGAGAGCAGAAGTTATCAAAGGTATTAGCTTAGAGTGAGCCAGTGAAACAAAATTCTCTGTAAACTCATGGTGCAAATTTTCAAAACAAGCATAAATGTCTTGTTATGTTGCTCAGGTTATATACTTAAGAGGATCTCATAATCACCAGAAGGGAAAATATGAGCTGGTCATTCCTGGATTTTCCTAGGAATATTTAAGTAGTTGTGATGTCTCTCCCCTGCTTAAAAATAATAGTATATTTGCATTTTTGCACAAATATCCACAAACATATACAATTGTTTCAACAAAGGCCACATTTTGAGTTCTGTTAAAAGATATCAGGTACAGATCACCTTCTTCAAAAGAAATGGGAGATCTTCCCAGCATGAATTTTCCCTCATCCACCTCCAGTAACAGCGCAATCCAAACTGGACAGAAGTAAAGCGCTGGGGGTGTCTGCTTGCCTGATGAAACCCTTCATCCCCCTAGGTGGTATTCACTAGCCTTGCCACATGTTGGCAAAGAAGCAGTAGTGTTGAATGTGAAGCGACTGAGTTTCTGCACCCCAATGAGAGTTACCCTGCTTCACAGGGTGAACACTATAGGTCACACAGGCTTCTCTTCTCTGAGACTGACTACAATTATGGTCTTACCGATGCTGGTGAAAATCTGCAGAAAATCCACTGATTTCAGTGGATTACTCTGACTTTTGTCAGAGGATGGATTTAGTCTGCATTTCTAACTCTCTATTACTTTGAGTCATGGCACAGATTATCCTAAATCATCATC